CCTTCCCTGTACTGTAATTCAGGATTTGGAACCTAGAGTCTGTAGAACTGTATTGCTATGATTGCTTATTCCAAGATTTTCCTGTATTGTGTATCTGAAGGACATACAGGTACACAGAAAATTCCAAATATTATTTAGGGACAGACTGTATACTATATCATTGGTATACAAACCCAAACTTTTAGGGCCAAAGATTTCCATTCTATCTGGCATCTCAACAAGCGGATGCTTGAACTGCAAGATTAATAGGGAACAATTTAATATTTCTCTAAGGTCTAAAAATGGTGATAATTTACAGAGGTTGCAGAACTGCAGGTATGGATAACTTACATACACCACATCACCTGTCATGAAAGTTATGCAGACATGCTTATGGTGTACGTACATCTTCATGAACTCATCTTTTTTCTTAAATGTAGAAGAAAAGTGGGACTTTGTCTTTAACTGATGTCCAAGATCAAAACAATCAATGATCATTTACATTCAGAAAACTATTAGAGCACTGTAAAAAGGTATGCAAAGTTCCATTATGCTAAGTGGTAAAACAAACACAAACAATGTAATAATCTGCATTAAGCAGAGGTCACAGACTGGGTCCAGTGAAGATTATTAAATGGAGTTCATTTGTAATGTGTGGGAGAACATTCACCAAGGTGTTTTCTAGAAAATGTAATAAGATTTTTAAAATAAAAAAGTAAATCACTGATATGATGTTCTAGAAAACATACCTATGTTTTTTTAGTGTTAGCTGCCAAAGCTGTATTACTTTCTAAATTTTTGCAAGCTTACACAAATAGGATAAATGAGGCCAAGAAGTAAAAAAAAAATCTTATCATCAATAATAATAATAATCAAATGCTTTTTTCAATATTACAGAAAAAGAACAGTACACCTTGATTTAAAGCATCTCAGAGATAACAATGGGAAACAATTACAAGTGGGTAACATATTAAATGAAAATTTCCCTCAGGGGTACCCTCACCAAGGAAGAAAACGCCAGCATACCTTAGGCTGAGCAAAGACAAAAGCTATGTTTTATTAGCAGAGAAGAAGTGTTTGAAGTATTAGAAGCACAGAAGATAAATCTTCAAAGCCTAATTAAGAAAAGAAGCAATGTTATTATTAGTTATACCTTTTCCAGCATCCAAAGGGTAATATTCCATTTGATGAAAAATGCCAACTGATCAAAAGCAAACACAAACCGAAACCAGGTGACCATATGCCATTAAATTTTACTTTGATTACATGTAAGGCACAGAAACAATAATTAGACCAAAATTAGTGGATAATCTCTGTAGAAATAAAGTTCTAGGGAACATTAAGATGATAATTAGAAAATGTATGTCTTAAACTTTTTTGAATAAGGAAAAGCAGTAATTGAAACACAGTATATAACAAAGTATATTTAGATTTTCACAAAGTATATTAAGATTTTTATAAGGAACATTTTCAAATATTAATCCTCAAATTGCAGGCATTAGACATCCAAGGCAATGTATGTCTTTGGATTGACAATAGGTAATTTTTAGATAACGATACAGAAAATAATAATAATAAAGTAGTAAATACAGCTCAAGCTGGGGTGATGTACTTAGTGTACTAGAGAGATCTGTATTAAAACCACTGCTTTTCTTAATATGCATATATATTAATGATATACTGTACATTGTGGTGCCATTTGTAATGCACAGCAAAGCCAATTGCAACCATGTAGGAAAAATTCAAGATGGGGCAAACACCTAGCAAATAACACGTAATGTAGACAAGTGAAGAATGTTTCATGCCGGTAACAGAAACATGAACTGCTAAAAGAAAATAGGAAACACTGGGCTTAAAAAAGCTACTCAAGGAAAAGACTCGGATGTTTATTGAAATATTATAATTTATGCATTCTAGCCAATGGGGAAGCAATAACAAAGGCAATCAGAATATTTACTTTCATTGTTGAAGTTGTTACATGGGGTCAATACATTAATTCCAACACAGCATGCCTGCGTAGGCTCATGTTTCCCTGATGTGATGTCCCATCGCTGGATTCACACCACCTTTTGAGCGGTTTTATAGTGAATAACATATTTGCACGCTTCTTTCACAGGACTGGCTGTGATTGCCAGAAATTAAGTTATCCATCAGGTAATAAGTGATGATCTACAGTAGCAGCATTACAGCCTTGGCAGATCTAGCAAGACTCAGCAAGAAGAAAACAGTCCCATTCATCACATTACAAACAAGTGAATTCAACGTCACTGTTCCTTGCTTTCTAAAAAATGTAAATGAATTTAATTTTTATAGATTGTGATGATATGCATATGCATGTTTTTTACCTGTGGTTGATTTAGGTCTGCGGCAGAAATGGAATTCCCTGCCTAAAAGAACATTTAAAACCAAGACCAAATACACTCCACGGTTTCATTCAAGGCCAAGTGGCCTCTTTGTGTTTCTCTTTTTTCTTACATTTTCGTTGTTTTACCAAAAAGGTGCTTCCAGAAGCACATCAGGCTTTTGACTATGTGTTCTGGTATAAGGACTTACAGTGCACCGTGGAAGAACAACTGCTATGCACTGCCCTATTATTGTGTTGATTGTAAGGCCTGCATATAAAGACACACAGGTATTTGCTGGAACTGCTTCTAAAACCTACTATTCTGAAATAGGAACAGTTTCCCTCAAGGATCAGTCAAATCCCGGATGGTGTAATAATGGATAATAGAGAATGAATTTTATGTGCTACAGATTTAGAGGGTTTTTATTGTAATCTGGAATTGCTTTATTAATGTTACAGTATGTATTACAAACTGGAACTGAATGGCAAGTAGAATAATAATGTATTTTAATATTAATGTCATGCTTTTAAATATGCTATTTATCTGCACTGAAATGCTGTGGCAACCATTGGATTAAAACTCTCCTTTTGGAATAAGTGTACACAAAACGTATATTAAAAAAGTGAGCTTGCATTGGCTTTAATATTATTGTCATGCTTTTAAATATGCTATTTATCTGCACTGAAATGCCGTGGCAACCATTTGATTAAAACTCTCCTTTTGGAATAAGTGTACACAAAACGTATATTAAAAAAGTGAGCTTGCATTGGCTTACTAATGTATAAGTACTAATGTATAAAAGCAGTATGTCCTTGGCTAGTTTCAAACTGGTTATGTATTAGAAAAATGTCTTATATTGTAAACTTTATAAACCCCAACACAGAACCCAAATGTCCTTGCATTCCATATTTGAATTCATAAAGTTAATTTACAAAACATACAATTAAAGTGATATATTAATTAGCTGGTAGAATAGTGTTTTTTATTACATACAGTCTACTAATTTGGCTTATAGGCATTTTAAATAATACCAGAGACAAAAGTATAACTACTCACAATAACACAAAAAATATTAAGACAATGTATTAAGGTCTCCCAGCCAGGGACCTCAACACTCATGTTACAGCAGGAAAGTACTGAATGAGCAAAAAAACATCAAAAAGTACAAGCTAAATTCAACTCAACCATAAAAGGCATATAAAGCTGTCATTTCATTTATCTTTTTGACTGCCAATGTAACACTGGCTTCATACATTTTTAGTGATAAAAGTACATGGACTACGTTCTAAATCTACTTTAGATTAACAATCTAAAGGATGTACTGCCAGACATCTGGTATATACTGCCACCTATTGAGGAAAAGGAAACGAACCAAACAAAGACACCTAATCAAGGAGCTAGTGCATAGGCCAGTCAAATATTTTTTAAATATTTTTCATATAAACAGAACATTCCCTTGGGTCTTAAACTTTTAACTTGGCTCTTTCCTCTGGATTACAAATTCAGACCACAAAAGCACTAAAGCAGTTTCTCAAAATTATTCCTAGATATTTCTCATTTGAAGATCTTTTCGATGTCTCAATAAAACACCTTACATCCCTCAACATAGTATATTAGTTTGGAGATGCTTTTGACCACAATCTACACACCATTTTAAATGTACCAATAATTCCTAGCACAACTATACTTTTACATTAACCACAAATACTAGTCACTCAGACAGCAGAGAGGGATACAGTCAGCACAAAAACCTGCAATTAACAAAACATTCATAGGTTCAAATCAGGAGTTATGTTCGTGTACAAGCTGCAAAGTCACATATGGAACCTAATTCCGGGCTGAAAGGAAAGAAAGAAGAAAGACAGTCGTTCTACAGCTGTGGAGCATTCTTCAGGTGAGTTTATGCATCATATTACAAAGTATAACTTTAAGGATTGTGCCGCCCTCTGCTGTTGTTTCTTATATTTTTCAGTAACACAGCAGAATTACAACTAAGCAGCGGTATGGCTTTCTGTGTTTTTCTTGAAACATGCATACTTCCTTATATATTCCTAAATCAATCCAGACTGTGCTCAGGAAGACCTCATTTTCCAAACATGACAGTATATGAAAACAAAGAGGAAAAATGAGATGTTAGTCACCACTTATTTTATTTTGGGGGGAATTCATTTCTAACGGCATCCAGGTCTTGTACTTTGTATTTATTAATCCAACTAAGGTTTTGCACTACTCATTAACTGTTACTAATCCTACACCAGCACATCAGAAACTATGCGTTTGAGGGCACCCCATTTTGTCCTAACCAGTAACTCTTCATAGATCATCATAGATGGTCAATACTGCCTAACAATAAGGTCAATGTTAGAAATAGGTAGAAGTTGGTGAGTTGGCGAAATTGCAAAGTACCTTAGGCTTCTTTTTTAAACCAAATTAATTGAAGCAGTTAAGAAAGACTTTAATAAGTTTAAGAATAAAGTCAGATCTCCATAACAAGAATAATAAATACATTTCTACATTTATTCTGAATAGATAAATAAATGTTCTCATTAACAACACACATTTTTCTCAAATCTAAAATAACCAATACTACCCCTAAAATATTTAAAGAAGAGTACATCTTAAAATAGTGCACTGCAACATCATATTTGTGTCACAAAATACAAATGTTCAACTTACCATCTTTGGATAAAGAGATTGTCCTATTTCAACAACATGTGGATCTACAGTCTGTGTATCTGCCACAGAAGGATTGACCTATATAAGAAAGAGAAGAAAAGCAAATTATAGAAGACTAAAATGTGTGCAAAAGCTTCAGACCAGCAGTTTTAATTATTTTATGTTTTCTCAGGGTCTTCTCATAAGCTTGGTAATTAGGGTAACATACTTGAGAAATGACAGAAGGCAATTGAGTGTTCATTTATGTAATTTCATAATCACTTCGATATAATTCCACTAAAATCAGAAAAGCTTTTCATTTTACACTAAACAGCACTTTCCGTAAATGTCACACAATCTCCTTATTCTGACTAGACCAAAAGAAATATATTAACAATTCTCCCCGACATTAAGAAGAACCAATCAGTGCAGTCTTGTGGATGAAGATCCCTGAGAATCCAATGTGAAAACAGTATTGAATTTCTTTCTTATTTAATTGGGCACGCAGTGTTCTTTATTCAAACACTGCGTGAGTGCAGCAGGGGAATTGGGGTGAGTTGTGCACCTGGATGGATGAAGGAGACACGGTATGCGAGTGGGGCGACCTGGGGTAGATGTTCGTCAGGTGTGGAGGGGGGTCTGGGTTGACACGGCTTCTGTTGTGCTTTAGAACGTCCTTGTAGTTAAACGCATCAAAGTTCGTTTTCCACACCAGAACCTGTGGGCAATAATTGCCAGGGGAAAAAAACAACAATGCTTTTACAGGTATATTTTTTTTAATATACAGGGGTTGCGAAACCTAAGTACACCTCCTTTAAGAGTTTGTGGTTCAACGTATTTACACATCTTTGACCTCTTCTTAGTCCTCACTGTCTTGACTTTCATTCAAGTACTGTTTTGCAAACTTAGGCTGTACAGCAATGTTATTCTTGGAGAGCCAGGGTTTTGAATTTTCTCCTTTTGTAGATTCTCTTTCTTACCTCTTGGTGGAATCATGGACTTCATATTGTTCGGAAATGGCTTTGTTACCGTTCCCAGGCTAATATGCAACAACAACTATTTCTTTAAGAGTGTCACCGATTTCTTTTGATCATGATAATAATGATAATTAATGATTAATTAACGATAATGATCATGATCAGGTTAACCTCAGTGCTTCAGACCAGACTGACAAACTTTCTAATTTTATATACAGGTAGAATGACTGTATATAAATGACTCAGAGGGAAGGGGAGAGAAAAATGAGAAACCAGGATGACTGGTATCCTAAGCGATACTTCCAGCCTTCCTGAGACAGTGAGTTGTAAAAATCTCTGGAATAGACGGGAGCTGTAATCCAGTGATGGACTGGGCTGACCTGATCACCCTCTGTAACACCTTCCGGTCAGACAACAAGCTGCTGTCAAACCACACTGTAATACCACATGTGAGCTAGAGGTCTGCTACCCGAAGTATTCTCTTCCAACTGCGGGCTCGGGCCAGGTTTGGATTTGTTTTCTAATAAGTGAAAATGAATTATTATTATTTCATTTTTTAAATTAATTTTTAGTAGAAAAAATATGTATGTGTATGTGTGTAACAGAGCCACCTAGATAACTGTTCGCAATGGATGAAATAAAACAAAAACTCAAAAAGGGAGAACTACTCAAAATGCCAAATGAGTTGGGGACGGCTCAGTTATGGAAACATTATGACCTTGTGGTAACAACAGATAAAAAGCTCACTGGTCACAGTATAATAATGTAGGGCTTGCAATGCTATTTTGACTTCCAATAGACAAATCGTTTATTATACTCTGCTGTGCTGTGCTCATGGGCCACAGTGCCTTGTTAAGCTGTGTAGGTAGGCTGCTGTTTATTATCCCATATGTAAATAAAGTACAGCCTATTGCAGTATAATTATTGCCAGGAAGGATCATCAACTCCACAAAAATGTATAATAATAATGTGTGCTGGTGTTTTGGCTTGAATGACGTTACGACACGGAAGGTAGCTGGAACCAGTAATGCCTGCGAGCATATTCACTTTGCTTATAGCGCTAGCTTTTTAGTAGGCCTATTATGGTTATCAGCCATTCCCCACTTTCAAAAGTATTACAGATTTATAAAATACCAGTTTTTCTCAGCGCACAGCATTTTCTGTCTATCAACTCAAGCGCATAGCAGCCAAGCAAAGCACTGTAAAACCGTGTCTGTGACATTCCGTCTCCGTGTGTGCGTGTGTCCTCTCGCTCTGAGAGTAAAAGAGAGTGACTGATTTCGGGTTCAGGTTTCAAATTTGGCAGTACCAGTCGGGCTCAGTCGGGTCGGGTCTTAAAGTCTCGGGTACAGGCTTCAATTTCATGCCCGTGCAGACCTCTAATGTGAGCACACTCTCAATAGCGCACCTGTAAAATGTGGTAAGGACAGTTGAAGACAGACCAAATTTTTTCAACTGTCTGAGGAAGTAAAGACATTGTTGTGCCTTCTCTGTAGCTCCAGTTACATGCTGGGACCACATTAAATAATTAGCGATGAAGGTACCCAGGAACTCAACAGCCACCCCATTGATGTGAATAGGGGTGTGGTCCCCACTCTGCTTTCTAAAATCAATGACCAGCTCCTTGGTTTTGCTGACATTGAGGGAGAGATTATTGTTAAGGCACCTGGTTCTTGACTCATCCCTGTAGGCTGTGTCATCGTTAGCAGTGTTTCAATGGCCAATGATGGTCGTGTCATCAGCATATTTGTAGATGGAATTGGAGCTGTGTCTGGCCACACAATCGTGGGTGAACAAGGAGAACAGCAGGGGGCTAAGCACACAGCCCTGAGGGCTATTGATGGTCAGCATGGAAGAAAGCTTTCCATCTAACCTCACAGTCTGTAGTCTGCTAGTCAGGAAATCCATAATCCACCTGCACAGAGAGGTGTTGATGCCCAGGTCATTAAGATTCCTGACTAGTCTGGAAGGAGCTATATGTTAATGCAGAGCTGTTATCAATCAATAGCATTCTGACGTATGTGTCTTTATCATCCAAAAGAGCCAGGACAGTGTGAAGAGCCAGGGAAACAGCATTGTCAGTGGACCTGTTACGCCGGTATGCAAACTGCAGGGGGTCTAAGCATTCAGGTACCATTGTGTTAATGTGCCTCATGACCAAAGCATTTCATTATGGTGGATGTGAGTGCTACCGGACTGTAATCATTAAAACAGGTCACAGTATTTTTCTTTGCCAGTGGAATAATGGTACCCACATTCAAAGTTAAAATGGAATTTTTGCAAAGACAAAAAGAAAATGAATGAAATTTGAAGAACTGTAAAGAATGAAAAAGGCTCACTCCAGACTACCTGATAAGTTTGGTTAGATAGTGTGTATAGCAGAAATTCTATTTTGGATCTGCAGTGCATAAATAAGCAGTCAGCTTGACAGCTAGTCTCAGACAGCTCATGCATATGGCTCTGGTTTTCCTTGAGCTGAAGCGAATGGGACTTTGGCAAATTTACACAGAGGTACATACCAGGGGAGGGGATTTAAACAAGATATTTTAATGATTACAATAATTACACACATATTGGTTAGTCAATCTCTAATTTGCAGCGTATGTAACTTTTCTCTGAATGTAGGGACACATTAATTAAATACAGTGCAGCCTCATTGTAATGAGAGTTTTCATCCCTGAGGCAACTGTTTTACCTCATGACAAAAAATAATTCAACAAACCTGAGAATCAGTGCCACCAGAAGCAAAGTAGTCCCCTCCACGAGAAAAGGCTACAGCTAGAATAGGCCCCTAAGTCAAAAAGAAGAAAATGTTTATACATAACATCATCAGTTTATTAGCCCAATACAATTTCTTGTATTAGGAATTTGTCTTTTTGGATACTCTCTCTCCATGAGACATAGACAGGGAGAGAGAAGCTTGGGGTCAGAGCTCAGGGTCAGCCATTGTACAGTGCCCCTGGAGCAGTTGGGGTTAAGGGCCTTGCTCAGGGGCCCAAAGGAGTAGGATTCCTCTGCTGGCTGTGGGATTTGAACCGGCAACCTTCCAGCCACAGGCGCAGATCCTTAGCCACAGAGCCACCGCTCCGCCCCATACAAAAAATCTAAAAGACTTAATGTTCAAGTTAAGCACCTTTCTTAAGCAAGTTGGAATTTCTTATACAGGGAAAACTGAATCAGTAACTGCACTAGCTATTTGGCATTTTCAAAATTGATTCTCTGTTAAAATAGTTTTGCTGAACATTAAATCTAGAGCCCTACTTTCTTACGAACAGAAAGCAGCACATTTGTGGATATGTATGTTTTCATGGACAAAGAAAAGAACACACATCACGGCTGATCCAACCTTCAGACCTGCCTATGCAATGTGAATCTCTTAATTAATCCCAGTGTGTCTATTTACAATCGTAGAGGCTCTTAACGGTCTCTAGTGGCAGGTAGGATGTTAAATAGTTCCCTCAAAACCGTCGTACCACAGCATGCATTTAAAAAATTGACTCTGCAAGTAGGGCAAACTAGCTCTGCTTGTTGTGATTTATCTACAGCAATTCTATTAAAAGTAAATCTAATGTTTCATTCTGAACAATCTGAATTTTTTTACATGGAGTCTTTTATACAGAATAAAACACCTTTTCGTTATTTGATATCTGTGAGTTAATGATTGGCTCTTCCAACCTGATGTCCATGTAGGGTGTAAATGAGTCTTCCTTCCAGAAGATCCACAATCTTCACAGTGCTGTCACTAGATGCGGTGATGAGGTAGTTACCAGAAGGATGGAAGGAAAAGCAATTGATCCCAGCGCTGTGAACTGCCGTAAATCAAATAAGCACAAACAATATAACTTGCAACGGCTCTTTTTTTTTCCTATACTGAGCATCACTCCATTACTGAAGAACATGATTGTAGTTTCATGTTGTTTCAAGATAGACAACATCTGCATTAAAAAAATAAGAAAGAATACAGATTTAGCCCAGATGTCTCCACATTCAACACTAACCTGAGCCATGTTACTAACTGAATGTGACTGGGATTGCCCAAGCAGTATAGCACCACTTGATGAGACGTGCAGGAGTAGATTGGCCATTAGGCTTCTTGGCTTTAATCTAAATGGAAACTCCTGGGATTTGCTCGATGCCAGCAAACTTGCAATAATGTTTTGGAGAGATACACTGTTACTCCAGTGTAGCTATCTCTCCAGAAACACACTGTGGAGCTTGCTTCAGCTAAAACGCTCCAATATATGGGAGTGTAGAAGGAGCGTGCCTACAGGTCTGCTTTTACCCTGTGTAGCCAAATGATGAGTTGCAGATCCTACTAACGATTCCAAATTGTGAATATATATAGTAAAAAATGGCAATTCCAAATTCAAATTCAATTTAAAAAATAACAATGATAACTCCCTTAACCTTTTTTTAAATAAAAATAACTTGCTTTGTCTCAACATGAAGAAAAGTTCTGTTTGATCTCTATCCTGTATGGCAGTAAAACAATTACAAAAAAGTAACAAATTAGAAAAGGAGCATACATTTTTTTTAATTGGATTTGTATTTCAGAACAGAATTTTTCATTTCTGTTGGTCATTTTAACCACTTTTGTATATGTGTTTAAAATCATTCCTTACTTTGGTAATGCTGCAATAGTTTGTTTGTCCGTATATCCCATATCTTCAAGGTGTTATCTGCACCCGAAGAGGCTATGCAGGTTCCACTGGAATTGAAGTCCACGAACGTTGCAGCAGACCTATATAAATATTTAGAATATAGTAATTAGCTAAAACAAACTTCCTGCACAACTTACACAATTTCACTTTGGATAGCGATCGGTTAGCTGCAAGAATTTCTTCTTGACTTAATCCTTTGAACCATTTCAGTAAGCGCAAAGCTGAGAACTTCCACCAAACTCATGTCATGAGATAAAATCAACGTTTATGTAATGTACACATACAACAAAAATTAAAAATGGATCAGCTTAGAAACAATGACCAATGTGACTAGGATTATGCAAGATCATCTGAACAAGTCAAGTTCTAAAATATAAACTAAAGAATAATTCCTTCACCAGTCATGTTTTGCAGAATTAAATAAAACAATACCCACTGGAATTCAAGCAGACCATGCCCATAGAATGTTAACTTAAGTTTGTTTGTCATGTAACCCTATATGAAACCAATAAAATAGTGTTGCACCTGAAGAAAGAAAACCTTGATATGGAGTTACCATATCGTTCACTAATAATAAAATCACATTCTAATGTTCCACAACCTACCCTCCATAGTCTGTGAAAGTGTTGATGCACTGTCGGCTTGTTGTGTCCCACAGCCGCACAGACCGGTCATCGCCACAGGAGACAATGAGCCTTCCGTCAGGTGAAAACCTCAAAGGAAACACATACTGGCACAACTAAAACTCTTTACTGCAATATTGCTGAAACCAACATAAGGATAATAATTGGATTGTAGCTGAACTTTTATAACGCATATCAGTTCTGTGTTGGGCCTCAAATCCCTACTAGACAAACGTCATAGACAAGAAAATGCAAGATACTGAAAACAATTTCTTTGGTTGAGGCTTGACCGTAGACCTGTCTAAAATGTATTCATTCATGACAAGGAATAGGAGAAAAAAGCCTGTCAATTAATCAAAAGAACAAGTGAATCTGTCATATTGACTGAAACCTGATGAACGATTCTGTCTGTTATTCGCTCTCTATAACACCTTGAAAATAACATATTTTGTCAATTTTCTCCATGACATTTCTTGCTTACATTTAAATAAAAAAATCATTTTGGAACTACCATTCACAAATAAACAATAAAATGGATAACATTTATGGCACTAGTAGTTCACTGATGCCAGCCAAAGTGGGGGAGGGAATCGTTGGATGAGCAGCCACTTGGTTCTGCATCTTTTCAGAAACCTATCGCCTGTTCACTACCATTATTTTATTGAATGATAATTCATATTTGAAACTGCCTATTTTGCAAAAAAGGATATGAATAGCAGGTACTATGGCTGCCAAAAAATAACAGCAGACTGTTGGCTGACACTTGATGTCATTTGGCCTTTTCATTTTTGGACATGTTATTTCTGGAACTTTCCACAGCCCATACCTACCGTGCCAAGATACAGACAATCAGATTATGAGAGTCAGCAATTGTCTTAAAGTAAGTTAAAATATTATTACAGGTTGTATAGATTTTTACATACTTTCAACCTCTATCATTGTTGCAAATGTAATCTGGCTTTTTGATTAGGTTTTGTTTTTCTGATTTTAAGGTGTGGATTGCTGTTGTATGGGAAGATGGAAAGGAGAGCATCAGGGGACATATTTTGTTTTTATTTATTTTTTTATACATCAATTTTCTAACCTCTTTATCCAATTCAGGGTTGCAAGGGAGCTAAAACCCATCGGGTGCAAGGCAGAATACATCCTGGAAAGGGTGCCAGCGCACACGCACACGCACACGCACACGCACACGCACACGCACACGCACACGCACACGCACACGCACACGCACACGCACACGCACACTGACACTGACACTGACACTGACACTGACACTGACACTGACACTGACACTGACACACTAGTTTGTCTTTGGAAACCCATGCTAACACAGGAAGAACATACAATCTCTACACAGAAACCTGGCCACAGCGCTACAAGACAGCAACGCTAACCACTGCACCACCACTCTGCCCACTACTGCTTTTTGTTTCTAAAAATAATAATAATTAAAACACATAAAACCTATTCAATGGAAAATACTTTTTTTTAAAAAAAACAGGTCAGTCAGGATATCAACTTTGAAAGCATAAGCTTAAATGTAAGGTAAACTAGAAAAAAAACTCAGGTCACAACTCATTAGGTTAGGTTTTAAAAGGACCATAATGTCATAAGGACATTTATGGTACTTTTACAAAAATCTCAAATAATGAGTATAAGAGTTCTCAGCTTTAAATTTTAGACAAGTAGACCCTGAATACACCTTCTTAGTTTCTCTTCTAAATAATTTCAGAATTTTTAGTATAAAATAGTGAAATCAGTGAAAACTAATATCAAGCTTCTCACCTGGCACAACGAACCCAATTGGTGTGCTGGTTTAGAGAGAACAAGAAACGCTGGCGATGAACACTCCACACTTTTAGCGATTTGTCATCAGAAGCAGTAACCAGTTTCTGTCCATCCTGTGAGAAGCTGACACTGCGCACCGTAGCTGTATGAGCTGTGAACACTGTCGACTCACCTTTGCTGGATGAAAAAAAAAAAGTTATCTAATTTCATGCAACCTGCATCATTCATCTTAGGTGTAAGGATATAATAACAATCTCTTTAATACAGCACCTTATGGCAAGCACTTTATAAATTCATTTTAAATTTAATATAGTTTAAAAACAATCTTAACAGGCACCAAAGTTCTACACAACATGACATTAAAGGCTAGGACTTGGAATGACCAAGAAAATAGAAGCCTGCTTAATGTTAGGACATCATTATAAGGAGACGAGCTAAAGTCTTAATCATTGGATCCTACCAATTACTAACGCATGAATGGAATGGGAACTTAAAAACAGAGAGGTAAAATACTACCACTTCTGTATAAGAGGAAATTTTCTTCCATTCTCTTGCACTTAGTGATTAATGTTTTTTTTTTATTGTATCTAATATTTTACATTCCCAACTTCAGTGACTGAATCTTACAAGATTGTAAGAAAACGATGCCTTGGCAAGACCAGTTAGGTACTGTAGATAGTTTGGCCCAAATAGAGTTTGCATGCTTTCTAAGGGTCCATTTGCTTAAAATGACTTAACTGTGGTTCAGGTTTCCAGGTCTCGCTAAGTAAGGCTGTTGCACAGAACAGCCCTGTACATATTTTAAGTGTTTTTACATCTAACTTCAGTTCTTTTTTTTTTTTTTGTTTTACATGCATCACTATGGTGAGCTACTGTATTATTTTCTTTACTCTCTTTACTCACATGCTTGGTGTCCACAGTCGTACCGTTCTGTCCCGAGACCCAGAAGCCACGAGGCTGCCAGATGGAGAGAACTGGACACTGGAGACAACATCTTTGTGACCAAAAAATCTGAACGCTCTGGCCTTGGGCTTCAGATTCCAAATCATAAGGAATGTGTCAGCTGATCCAGTAGCTTAAAAGAAGATAAGAAAATGCTTATATAAATAAAAACTTTTCAAAATTGATTAACGAGCAAAACATAATATAGAATGCACAATGCAGTATACTGTACATCCATCGACTTATTTTAAAGAATGATGCTTATTTTTGGTAAGGGTTGTAGCAAACCAGCATTGATATCAAAAGCATTAAACACAAGAGGCACTCCTGTTGGGTTGTCACCAAAATGGCAGACATACAGAGTCAATTTAGAGGCACCTAACCAGTTTGTGATTGGAAGGTGGGAGGACACCAGATCTATGAAGAAAAGACTTACACAGATATGGAAAAATCATGCAAATTCCTCACAGAAGGCATCCCAGTCCAGAATCAAAGCCAGGACCGGAGAGCTGTGAAGTAGTACTGTTATCTGCCATGCTTTTGTGCAACACCACAGTATAAATATTAGGAAGAATGCCTTTAATAGCGCTTTTAATTCCAAAGAATTCCAAAGTGCTTTGCATACAGTGCAGCACTTAGGAATACCTGGGAGGAATTAGGTACCAGCAGCCACACTACACTAAAAAAGACAACAAGTTGCTGAATAACATATAGACCATAGCGTTTTTAACTAGTGGTACATATATTATTTACACACATAACTGAACTGGGGTTCAAACTGAGCTCAAACGTTTCAAGCCAACATGAGAAGAAAAGCAGATAGAGACCCATACTGCGAGTTCTTCTTCACTGTATCCTCCATATTCCCTAACATGTTATCTTTGTATCCCTCAACAGGAAACAGACTTCCCTTTAAAAGCATTTTACAGGCACCAGTAAGGAAGTGTAATGCATCATCTTTTTTACTACAAAAGCCACACAACTGGGTACCCTGTGTGTGTACCATCTGAAGTGTTTAAATCTATACAAATTCTGGCTTTGACAAGCAGCGGTGCCCACTTGACAAAGTCCCAGGGCATATGGGTGGACTCAAGTTGGCCAGAGTATTGACTTGCATCACAACAGTCATTGCCCTGTTTTTCCAGCTGCCTGTGAGTGCACAGTGTTATCACTTCAGCTGTATTCACATTCCCCTGACCTCCAATTCCCTAACTGTCTGGCTGGTGCTGCTGTCTTGACTAACAACTGCCAAGCTGGTATTTTGAGACCCCAAGTGAATACTCTTCATCTTTCCTGTACAAGAAAGATGACTGCGGCAGAGCACTAAAGAAAAAGCCGTTACAAATTCAAAGGCACAGAAAAAAAATGTCTAGGGAATTCTGAAAATAGAAAATAATAAATCAATAAGATTATTCTGGGCCAGTGACTATTCTGTACAGGCTTGACTTTCACATACAAAGAAGGCAGCTGGGGACATAAAGCACATACTGTAGTTGTGGGTGTGTTTGAAAACACAGAGAGGCTCAACATCGCCCTATTACTGTATTTTTACCTAAAATTGTGAGAGGGGGGGGGGGAATCTGAATTAGTAATAATTGGAACATTTCAATTAGGAAAGAACAACATAAAAAGTCAGAAGAGAACATCATCACAGAGCAGATAAGAAAGTGTTAAAAACTAGACAGAGTTACACATGCATTTGTCCTAAATATTACTAGTAAAGTCAGAATAAACAGAATGCAATAATTTGAAAATAGCTATTCTATTCTATTTTGGTCGACTCACAAAAAGATATAAAGAAGTAGAATTCCTTCTCTCTCACCAGATTAATTTCTTTCATTTCTTTCCAGAGTGCTGGCTTACCAATGCAAAATCATGCAGCTGTTCTCTAAGAGTGCATCTCCTCAGTCAATGCTATTCTTACACAAGCAAAGCAAGTACCCCCTGAGTAGATGAATCTTCATTAAACCCAACTCCTCTTCAGAGTTAAAATAATATTATAGTGTAGCTACTGTAAGTGAATCAATGAAAAGTAAATAAATGGACAATCTACAGTAAATTATACTACTTAAACCTTTATTAGAATTTTCTTTAAACTACTGATGGAACACTATACAGTTCTTGTAGCAAAGCATGTGGAGAACACTATTATTACAGAAAACTAGGCTTACCCAGCTGCTTGTTAGTGGGACTAAAATCTGCACAAGTAACTGCATCTTTGTGACCTTTGAAATGACGTTCAAGAGTAGGATCCTCCTATAACGAAAACAGGTTTAAGAAAAGCAAAAGAGCTTTATTTTTTTTACTGGGATGTTTTTAAGAAAGGAGTTTTGACAATCTACTTAATCAAATGACATCTCTTAAACATTCATAAGAAATATACTGCATAAGAAGTTGGAACAAAACAGGTAAATACAAAGCTGCAGTAAGAAAGAAATCCAGTATTTTTTTATGTAAAAAACAACGGGAGCTCACACTAAAATAAAGGGACCTACTTTTTTTTTAAATAGAAAACTGTAATGGAGTTGTCATTTAAATGTAGTTTAGTTGTTCTTCCTTTTATAAAACAAAACATTCAATGTAGAAATAAAAGGAATTAAAGCCTTCACGTTTCATAACAAATATTATTACATATTACATTATTACAACACATTGTGACAACCACCGTTTTGGCATGCCCTAATACTCATATTGGCCACTCTACACACAGGTGAATGAAGCGGAAGATAAGTGTGTAAGTGTACGTTTATAAGGAAGGAATTTAGATGAAAAATGAGTGTAGTGTATAAACAGTAAGTTCGAGTAGAAATGGTTATCGATTAAACCACTGGTAAGTTTTGCTTTCCGGGGTTTTATCAGCTCAGAAACGACTGTAGACTGGTGTGATGAATTTATTTCTGAAGATTACCCATTATTGTGCTTGCTGCACTTTCAATGCACTAAATAAATACATGAATTCTAGCCAACACGATTATCGAAAAGGTATATCCTGTTTGGGGAAAACGAAAATGTTACAACTTGACAGATGCATCCTATTTCCTACTTCTAGTTGAACTTGCTCGGAGATTAACACTGCAACAGTGAAATTTAAATACAAACAGCCAAAGTTTAAAACGCCCCCTAGTTAGCCTTTTTTTGGTTAGGCGCCACGTTTATTACTATCTTAAAACACAAAATAGCCGCACATTAGATTTTAGTATAAATGGTGTCATTTTAAATATATGTGTGAGGTTGGATAACGGGAAACCTTATTATACTATATGATTTACACTTTCGGTAGTGGTGTAAATTTAAAATCCTTATTTAAGTCTCGTTGTGCACAGCAACGCAACCGTTTGCACAAGTGCAACAACAGCACAGCACTTGTCTGAAGCCTGTTTTACATAATAATTTAACTATACTGTATCTCTGTGTTTCCATTACAGGAGTGAGCAATAAATTGCTCTTTAGATTGCAAGAAGGTACATTTTTACCTCCAAAAAGGAAATAATAAAATGGCCAAAAACATGCTTGTCAAAGCACATAATTTCTTACCAACACAGATGCCATTTGAAATTGGTCTCTCAATGAACTTTTTGTACTCTGCGAAAGCACAGTTTTTATTTGAAAAACAATCGGAAATCCCCCATCGTTTCTACCAGCCTTTTCCTCTGTGTCAAACCCTACAGCTTGAGACACAGACCCTGGCAGCAGAGTACCGAGGAATCTTTGCAAACTTAATGTGCATATCTAGATTTCTTTATTACTCTTGGTTTAAATTTCTTGTGAAATATCAACGATTTGTGCAACACAAATAAAAGATTGTTATTTGGACATAAAATGAAAGCAAGAATCATAAAGCTTTACGGAAAATATATTTAGCATCGCTTGCAGCCACACGATTGCAGATGTAATCGATCGGTCCTCGCGTAGTAGTAATAACACAGGACAGCAGCTACACAAAAGATTGTATTCGCCTGCGTTACGCTTCCTAGTTGCGAAAAAAAAAACGTTTTACTTTTGTTCAGTGTGTCTATAATTTAAATATATATATACACATTCATTTTGTACCTTTATTGCATGAACAATATCAATAATTATTCTTTAAAAAGAAAAAAAACATTCCCGGAATAAATGATTGACAGGTCCTGTTCAAAACAGACTAATGGACCCACTGTATTTAATCAATGCAAAAGGAACTGCAAATTTGCTTCCATTAGCCTGGTAAATACAGTGGAGCGCGCCTGTGGGAGTAGTTAAAGTGGTTTGCTTTACTGCGGCTCTCGACCTGACAGGATAATATACAATCTGATTTTTAAAGCAGGTAGGATTCAGTTGGGAGCTATGATTCATATTTTAAATATGCAACATTTCTTGATCTTCGTTCAAATTGCAATCACTTAAGACACCCACAGACCTCTATTTTTCCCTTTTCTGAAATTCACAAGGGGGGTGGTAAAGGAACTTATATTTTTTTGTGAAGCACTTTAGCAGTGCAGTTTCTATCTTGTGCTGACAGGTAGCACAGAAATGTGCTGGTATAGCACGGATGTCCCTTTCGTTTGATATAGTTAATTAAAGAGCTCCTATATGTCTGCAGTATTGTCTGGTTCAATATTTTAACTTTATCTGGCAATTTACCTCCTGTCATTTTTGATTAAACTGAATGTATTTCATAATTTCTAATTATTAAAAGCACAGTGAAGTTATGATTTTTAAAATAGAAAACTGTAATGGAGTTGTCATTTAAATGTAGTTTAGTTGTTCTTCTTTTTGTAAAACAAAACATTCCATGTAGAAATAAAAGGAATTCAAGCCTTCACGTTTCATAACAAATATTATTACATATCACAACACATTGTGACAACCACCGTTTTGGCATGCCCTATTACTCATATTGGCCACTCTACACACAGGTGAATGAAGCGGCAGTTATGATTTAAAAGACACACTTGTAATAATATCACTTTATTAACCCTTTTCAATTTCTTGCATTAGGAATTTGTCTTTTTGCATACCCCAGCTTGCTCTCCATGAGACACACTGTCTGTGTCTGTGGGAGAGAGAAGCCTGGGGTCAGAGCACTGGGTCTGCCATTGTACAGCACCCCTGGAGCAGTTGGGGTTAAGGGCCTTGGTCAGGGGCCCAACAGAGTAGGATTCTTCTGCTGGCTGTCGGATTTGAACTGGCAACCTTTCAGCCACAGGCGCAGATCCTTAGCCACAGAACCACCGCTCCGCCCCACTTATTTCAATGGACCAGAGTCTAAAGACTGATAAAAATGTCAGACATGGATAGAAGTGTTTATTTTTCTGGATAATTACATAATTAGATCAGTGACACTTCCTAATTAGAAATAACACGGTTTCATACTTTCAGGAATTCCGTCTGAGTTTCTGGCAAATATGCAAAGCTCTATTCTTTGACAGCGTCTGCCTCAGAGCTTCAATATGAAGCATTCAAAAACCCATTTGGTAGAGACAAATGCAGAGACACTGTAATTATTATGTACCTAATAGACAAATATATGGTCTGACTAACTCACCCAGACCTGGGTTGTAGGAAATCTCGAAGGAAGCAGCTGTGGTTCCTCAGTTGCAGGGCCTGGATGAACTAAACAACCAATCACAAATTAACCCATTACTTAAACGTAGGATTCCTTTGGGTTAAGATGAGATCCTTGGCGGATGGGATTTCTTTTTTTTATTCTGTCCCATATTTTTAGATCCCTCATGGAAAATGGTTTTCACCTGGTCCAATTAAACGAATGTCAGGTATGATTAAACGGGACCAGAACCGTACAACCCTGCATTTAACACAGCAAATGCAAACCAGCGCATCATTCTGTCTTCAGGCTACTGATTCCTTTCAAACATCTAACTTAAGTGCTTGATCCCATTTCTTAAGAAACCCATCTGCAACCTGTTACTTGCGCTTTGATTTTCACATTTCCTGGTATTGCTGCATTCCAGGCTGTCCTACTCATAACTCATGTCCCTTTTGATTATTAGCAAGATAATGTCCTGCTCTGAATGTGAAAGATTTTCTGAATTGATTGAAATGTAAGATAAGAATGTTTTTTTTTATTTTCTGCTCATTCGTGTTGCTAAGATGTGTAACCACCATTAACAATAAACGGGAAGTATGCATTGTTTATGGCTTATGTTGTGAATGGAGAACATTGTAAACATACAGCAAAAAGCAGAATTCTGATTTAATGGCAGGCTATTCCAGTTTACCTTTTGGGATTGTAAGAGATTATTGTTTCGAGGTTTGCCTAAAAAGGTGCTTTGAATCTAAATTCTGATCACATCTGTCCAAAGACGTTACAATACAACATGTACATGGTCAGTAGCGCTAAAAGCTGCAAGTAATACTGTCAAAGCCAAAGACTTGGGTTTATTTTTCAATACCTGCAAGGTATGAAAAAGTGCTGGTGTGGAAGCAAAACAGAGTATTCTATTT